CAAATGATTGTGCTCTTCATTATTCAATTCAAACCAAATGTTTCCAGCAACTTTGTCTCCAGTGACTATATACAAAATAGGCCCTTTTTTACATTTTTCGTGGTTTGAACTCCTTTCTGTTCGTTTTCTTAGCTACCTGAATTGATCTTCCTCTATGCAAAACCCTGCAGAGCTTTGCTCTGGATTATGCATTAGTTGTTCTGTTTTTAACGAAAAAAGATGTGTTTGACTTTGAATCCAGCAGGATTAGAATAAATTTGGGGTTTTAATGAATGGGTTTAGCTATCCCAGCTGCCCTGGCAGGAGATGTCTGCCTGTCCCCTCCATGCTCCTGCTTCCAGATGACCATGCAACTGGAGGGCAGTGGTTTCTCATTTGTTTTTCCTTCCTAAATAACCGGAGTTTGAAGTTTCGGTATCATAACTCCATCTTTGTATGAAAATAGCCCGAGAACATTGTATAAGGCATCAGGAAACAAATCGATTGAAGTGCAGTGGAAAGGAAACTCATATTTTCCAGCTTAATTTGCTAATTAATCATCTTTGTGCAATCATGTCCTTCTCTGAGAGCTGCCATTGGGTTAATCCGGCTCCCAGCAAGGTGAAGATTAGCCATGGTCTCCTGGTGGGACCCCCCAAAACCTGAAGGCTGCCGAGTCTGGAGAGAGCAGAAGGGGAGCAAGTGGATCACTGGGAAATGTAAATGGTGTCGATGCAGCGGCTCCAGGAGTCACCAGCAGCACTACGAGGACAGACATCACTTGCACCAGGAGAAGGGGTTGGTGCCTCCTGGGGCAGGTGGGTTCTGTTCTGAGGTTGGTTATGACAAGGTTGGATGGGGCTTGGAGCAAGCTGCTCTAGTGGAAGATGTTCCTGCCCATGGCAGGGGCTGGAGCTGGGTGAGCTTTAAGGCCCCTTCCAATGCAAACCATTCCAGGATTTATGTGATTCTATGGTCACACATGTTTTCCTGTGCAGTGATTTTTATTGCACTGGAGCCACTACCCATTTGACCCCTATTTCTCTTAATGGGGTTGAAACAGTGCTCATGGAAATCACCAGAATTCAGCAAACGATATCGGGTATTTCACACTGCAGGAACAGAACCAAAAGTCATTTTATTTCAGGAGTTTTCACTTGACATGTTTGCCTCAGGGCATCTGCTCAGGAGAGAACTGACTTCTGCTCCGAGGAGCAGTGCACTCTGCTCCCCCAGCCACTGCTCGCACGCACTGGGGTGCTCCTCCTCACACAGGCAGGGGTAGATGAACCTCACGAGAACCTGACTAGCTTAGGCACCAACCCCTCCATCCAGGTCCCTACCTGGAGTACTGCTCCATAGCCACCAATTCCCAAAAGGGGGATGTGTCAAAGCTTCAGAGGCGCTACACGGGAAAACAACACCAGCATCTGAAATTCTTCCAGCTACAGTGAGAGGTGTAGGGACAATCAAATCTGATGCTACAGCCTGTAAGTTGATCGCCAGCTGGACTCAGGAGCTCATTTCCCTTTGTAGCGTGGTATCGCACAATGAGGTACAGAGCAGCTTCATCTGATACATGCCTGAAATATCTGCTATTTACCACTGCTGGGAACAGATGACTAATGCAGCAGATAAGGACTAACCCAGGGGACAGACTAACTCTGTGTTGTTCTGAGAAAACAGAATAATCACCTCGCCAGGTCGTTTGTTTGGCCGGGTGTTTTGACAGCTCTGCTTGGGAAGACATAAGAGCTCCTCAGATGGGGTTCCTGATGCTGAACACTGCTGAGGAGTCACCAGATGGGTTAGTGCTGGCAAAGGGAAATGTATGTGTGCCCACACCTGCTTTAAAACACAGAAGATGCTCCAGGATAACCAAGGTGATTCCTGCTCCTTGCTCCAGCCCCGGATGAAGTAAGCATCTAACCTGAGAGCCAGATGCTGGCTAAGAGAGCTGTAAGCTTTGTTCCCTGGGACTCAGCCTGGAGAGCACATGGAAGCAGGGAGGAATTTATCTATTAGGAATTTGAAAGTACACAATTCTGCTTAGGTTCTGGTAATTTAAGCACTTTCAAATACACAGAGGCTCACAGAATCACAGACTTGCTTGAAGGGAACTTAAGATCATTCAGCTCCAACCCTTGCCACAGGCAGGGACCCCTTCCACTGGAGCAGCTTGCTCCAAGCCCCTGTGTCCAACCTGGCCTTGAGCACTACCAGGGATGGGGCAGCCACAGCTTCTCTGGGCACCCTGTGCCAGCACCTCAGCACCCTCACAGGGAAGAGCTTCTGCCTAAGAGCTCAGCTCAGTCTTCCCTCGGGCAGGTTCAAGCCATTCCCCTTGGCCTGTCCCTACAGGCCCTTGTCCCAAGCCCCTCTCCAGCTTTCCTGCAGCCCCTTTAGGCACTGGAGCTGCTCTAAGGTCTCTCCTACAGGAGCCTTCTCTTCTCCAGAGCACCGTGAAGATGCTGCAGACCCTGCCCATAGGAGCGCAAGAAGCGGGTCCAGAACGTGCAAACTTTCCCCGAGCCCTTTCACTCCGCACACTGGTTTCAGGCTGTACGGGCGGTGCCCGGCGGGCACCCAGGGCTCTGCAGGCTGACAGGAGCCCGGCCCCGTCTCCCGCCCGCAGCCGGGCTGTCCCCAGCGACTGCAGCCGCTGCCTGAGCACTGCCTGCGGGCTCGGCATCAGTGCCAGCGCTCCTCCCCGCGCTGCTGCTGGGCTCGGCATCAGTGCCGCTCGCTGGGCTGGCCGGGTAACGCAGAGGCCGGCCGCGCACATCGCCTGTGCAGAGCGGGCGATGCAGCCCCTCGGTCCTGCTGTCACCCTGTGCTCCTGCCAACCCCCCCTTACTCTGTGATCCCTTCCCCCCTGCCCCAGCCCCTCATTCCTGCCATCTCTCCTCGCTCCTGCTGTCACTCCTTCTGTTGTCACCCCTCTCTCTTGCTGTCACCCCTTTCTCATGCAGTCACCCTCCTTCTGTCACTCTCACTCCTGCTCTCACCCCTTATTCCTGCTATCACCCCTCTCTCTGTCATTCTTCCTCCCCTGCCGTGACCCCTTGCTCCTGACGTCACCCCTCTCTCCTCCATCACCCCTCACCTGCATGGCTGCAGCCTGGTTACACAGAGCTTGCCCCATGGTGACCCCTACAACCTGCCACACAAGCAGCCTGGGAACACCCAAACCCCTTCCCAGCTCCATGACAAAGGCAACAAGAACTCTATTACTATTTTTTTTAAAGCATAGGAAATGGAAGCTGAAGCAAAAAGCAGCTGATGTGCGTGTGGGAATCCCTTCAGCCAGGTGGGAACGTGTGTCCATGGATGAGAACTGCTCCTCTGAGCCTCATCAACCCAAGTGAGCTGGGATTTCCTGAAGCCGCACTACATGCACAGACCTCCTCATCCAACATTAGGGAAGCGTTGAGTAAGACTGGTATGAAATAATAATGGTTTCAATTGATTAAACAGTGGGTTTGATGATCTAAGCAACAACACTGGTTTGTGCTTTAAATAGGTGTCCCAGTGCTGGCCCTAGGCTGGCCTTGGGTAATTTTACTGGGCTGGTGCTAGTAGTATTCAGGACAGAATAAAGCCCTCTACAAAGCCACCTTGCTTCTGGGTTTTACAGAAGAGAAATAGTCTTGCTGTTGTGCACCTCAGGAAAGGTATCTGTATATCCCGGCCAGGTACTGTAGGGTATACAGGGGGTTGCTGCTGGTTGCTGGAGTCATAGAGCATCCTGCACTGGAAGAGATCCATAGGAATAACTGAACCCAACGCCCCGCTCCTTGCAGGACAGCCTGCAACGAAACCACAGTGCCAGGAGCATCGTCTGGAAGCTAAGAAGTTGCTATACTTCTTCAAATTCTCTTTCAACCTTCCCCCCAAAAACCAAATCTGGAGCCATAATAAAGGTAGATAAAATGTTCCACTTTTTGCTATTATTTTCAGTATTTCACTGATGAGCTATTGCATTTAAACCAGACCTCTCAAGGACTGCTATATTTCATAGGGAATTGGAACTAGATGAACTTTAAGGTCTCTTCCAACCCAAACCAGTCAGGGATTCTTTGTGTCCAAATACAATCCCTCTCAAATACCAGCTTTGATGGTCCTGTGTGCATATGGTAGTGCTGCAGAACCCACACAAGACGCCTTCCAGTTTACCATCATTTGCAGCTCATTTCCTATTGTATTCCTATTATTCCCATTTCCTATTGCAGCTCGTTTCCTATTCCAGTTTACCATCATTTGCAGCTTGTTACCTGGTGTATTTCCTATGACAGCAAGGTGCATTTCAAAGCCAGTATGGATCCTGGGCACGGCTGGACCTGTCTCCTCACTGAGTTGGATATTTAATTAAAGGATAGCAATAACCCATTTCTATTTATCGGTTCAGTCTGACCTTGTCACCCAAATGCCTGGATTTTACTTGCTTCCTTCTGGGACAGCTGTGGTATTTATGGGAGCCTTGCTTTGGCAGTGCTCCCATAGGAGTCCCTGTTTGTGTATTCTGGGGTTTGGGACTGGTGGGTCTGTGTTTCTGGGAGAACATAGCTCCTGTGGCCCCAAGGTATGAAGTACGAGGTCATAACTGTACCGAACTGTACCTGACACAGGTTGGACACAGGGGCTTGGAGCAAGCTGCTCCAGTGGAAGGGGTCCCTGCCCGTGGCAGGGGTTGGAGCTGGAGGAGCTTTGAGGTCCCTTCCAGCACAAACTCCGTGATTCCACCATTCGCGCCCGCTGCCGGCTCCCCCGGAAGCGCTGGCCCCAGGCCCCCCTTGCCTTGGGCAGGGGCCGGTGAAAACCCTTCCCCCAACCCGCGCCCCAAATCCCCCTTTCCCGCCCAGACGCCGCGCTCCGAGCGGGGCCGGCCCCGGGGGCGGGTCTGGGTCTGTCCGGTTACCGGTGCCCCCCCCGGGGGAGGCGGCCCCATCCCGGCCCCCGCCCCGTTCCCCCTCCTCCCCGGGCGGAGCCTGGCGGCAGCGCCCGCCGACGGCTGGAGTTTCACTCGGCGGCGGCGCCGGTGCTGGAGCCGGGTGCGGAGCAGGCGGGCTCCGCTCGCCCCGTGCCATGCAGGATGCTGCCGGCTCCCGCAGCCAAGCGGCCGCCGCCCCTGCTCTGGCCGCCCCCCGCCGCCGAGCCCCCCGCTCCCCCCTGGGCCTGGGTGCTCCCGGCAGCCGCGGGGCTCGTCCGGGTCGGCGCTGCCGCCTCCGGGGCTCCCCCGCACCCGCCGCCGCCTCCGCCGCTGCTGCTCCCGGCGCCGCCGCCGCCCGCTCCCGCCGCCGCCCTGCTGCGGGCAGCCCCGGGCTGGCGCGTCCCCTGCGAGCCGCTGCTGCCGCTGCTGGCGGCCGAGCACCGCTCCGCCGCGCTCCTGCACGGGCAGGTAAGGGCGGACCGGGACCGGGGCCGGGGTCTGCCGCGGGGGCGGCTTCCGGGTGCTGCCGTCCGGAGCCCATCGCCAGCCCCGGGGATGGAGCCTCAGCCCGAACCGGGGGGGGGGGGGTCAGCGGCGGGACAGGTCCCCGCGGTGCCCCGTGGGCTCGGGTGCCCCGTAGGCTGTGCCCGCTGCGGTGCGCGGCTCTTCCCGCAGCGCTCGGCCGGGGGGCGCGGCGTGTGCCGGGGCTTCCACCTTTCCCAGGAGCCGGCCGCAGCGCTCCCCCGGGGCTGGGTTGCGGGGCCCTGCGGGTCTCCGACGGGGCCGGTGGAGGCCGATGGCTGGAAGCGTTTTGTGCAGGCAGCGCGGGGGCAGCGCTCCCGCGGCCGTGCGCGCAGGGAAGGGTTCGTTTTCGGGGCTGTTCGCAAAGCCTGAAGTTGTGACTCAAGTCGCTGTCTCTCCAGTGGTATTTCACTCATGAACTGCTGTCGTAGCGCTGCTCGGAACAGCGGAGCGCTCCCGCTGTCCGGCACAGGGATGTGGCGGGCACTGCGCTCCCGCTGCTGCCTCGGCCGGGTGGTTTCTACTCGGCGGAAGTCCAAACGCAGCGGGATGCGAGCGCCGAGGCGTGCGCTGGGGCTCCAGTGATGGTTCCCAGCCTTCCCGAGCGCGAGCGTCTCTGGTGGTTTGGGAGCAGAGCGGGAGGGAGGCGAAGGACGGGTAGCGCTGGGTCTGGTAGAACCGAGCCTCGGTTGTTCCCCGGTGTGAGAGCGCGTAAACTGCAGAGGTGGTTTTACCGTGGGAACCAAACGAATTTAAGTAAAGAAACGTTTCTGACGTTTCCTATGGTTCTTCCTCCCTTCCCCATGAATTTTAAAGCCACTTTCTAGTGATGTTCCTGTTCCGTGTCTGAGATTCTCTTTGAGCAGAGGAGAACCAGGCTGCCCTGGCAACTAGCAGCCATTGGCCAAGTCCTGCTTTCCTGCCCGGCTACTGATTTGTGGCTTTCTAAAGCCCTTTATCATGTCAGTGCCAGGCTCCCTGTGCAATGCCTAAAGAAACCCAAAGAGTTGTCGGGTTGAAGGGGCATATTTGAAGTCTTCTGTACTCATCTTATATGTAATTAGGCAGTCATGAAAAGCATCAACTTATCCAGGATAAAATCCTTCTATTAACTTCTCTCCCTGTTTTCTTTTTTTTTCTCTCCCCCAGTGGATATTTGGAGCTCATTCCCCCGTCATTGGATTTTCACCTTCTTCGAGCGTGGAATTTGTCCCTGTTTTCCCACCTGTGTACGCATCTACGGTCCCACCTCATGCTGGGAAAAACTGGATCGATAAAAGGCTCCCCAACTGCAAAGTAAGTCTGGTCATGGCATGTTGAAGTGTTTTAAGTGTACAGGAAATGTCATGGGTTTGGTGAATTGTGAAGGTGTATGAGAGGGCAGGAGTTGGTCAGGTAAAACTCCAAGGAGGAGGAATGTTGTGAGGGATGGATAATGGAGGAGAGGAGACTGCTTCAGCCATTACACATCTTTGTTTTTCTCAAGTTTTAAAAAGACTGAAGTATCTTTACTATTAGTCTTTATTACATTGAATAGAATGTTTTGATGGGATGTAGTTATGGGAGTTTTCCATTTTCCCTTTCTTTTTGGTCCTTCCACTGTTTCCCCCAAGGGATGCTGCGGTGTTGCACTGGCAGTGGTGGCATCACCATGAGCACTACCATGCCCCTGGGGTGTTGCTCATTGCCCTGTGTCCTCATCTTGCCCACAGCTACCTACATCTGTAATTTATCTGGCTGAGTAATGAAAATGTGTCTCTGTAACGCTATCCCATGTCCCTCACACCCATCTCTCCAATTCAGAAGATGATGAGGGCTCTGGATTAGAGGTGGGCTTACTCTGGAGCAGCTGTGTGTGGGACCCAAGTGCCTTCAGCTATTCCTTTCACTTTATGATGCTGATTAGTCATGTTAAATGGGAGTTCACTTTTAAATGGTCAGCTCGGCCCATCCTGCGGCACTGAGGGAGCTAAAATCAATTATTTTTGCAAGCTGGTCCCTAGGTTGAGATACTACCTGTTGTCATATTGAGTTTTATGTCTGACTTTTGTACCTCAAACCTTATCGTTCTTCTATTCCTTTATGTTGGGCAGATATACCTGAATAATGCCTTTGCTCTGGATTCAGCATGGCTCCATCCTGAGGACTCAAGACTCTTCCAGGGCAGTGAGAAGCCGCTGTTAATGAGCAATCAGGTTGCTATGACTATAGCCAGGCCAGCTGCTGCCTCCAGGCCTCTCCCCACCGTGGTGCTGGCACCTCAACTGATACCAGGTCAGTAGGACATTATTAATTAAGTACTTACCTTTTTTATTACCTGGATCTCTCAGAGATGCATAAACCATTCTCTAATGTAAAGGTTTCATTGCATTCAGCTGAAAACCTCTTGCTTGATCTGAACCTTGATGGCAAAGTGCATTTCATCCTCTAAATTACTTAAAGAACAAAAGATCACGTGTTATTATAGAAGATTATAACAGATTATTCCATAACTGCCTGTTGACTCGTGGAGTGAAGGGGCAGCCTTGGCTTGTTTTCAAACAAGAAATTCCTGACACAGTTCATGTATAATTCTCCCGTTGGCTTCTAGAGTCTGGTGTAGTCTGTGTAGACAGCTCTCGGTAGGGAAGAGCCATTGATCCATCATCTCATTAAGACTCAGTTATACACAGTGTTATTCCTGAAGTAAATTCCATTAATGTGGGTAACTCAGGTATGTCACAGCTGTAACAGAGTACTGAGATTTATACTTGGGGAGAAGGACAGGAATTGCATTGTGGTAAAGCTGAATCTCTGTTTGCTGCTGCAGTAGTGATTTAAAGTAGTTGTTTCATAGAAAGGCTTACAAAATGCTACTCATGGTTAAACCCGTAACATATATCCTTAAACGGCAAATTAGGATGTTGTTAATGGCTTGTGGTAAGTTGTTTCTTAGAGTGAAGGTGATGAGTGTTGGGTTGACAGCAGAGCCCTCCTTATCTTGGGCTTTGCCGTGTAAAGTCCTTTTTGTTTTGCTACCCCGTAGCACCCAGGAAGCCTTCCTGTGTTATGCCAGTAACACAGAGATTCACTGAGAGAGTGCTGGAATTGCTCCTTGCTGCCTGGGTTCGTTTGCCAGACTGATTAATTAGCAGTGAATATTGGTCTGTACTGAAACACATCGAGCCGCTCGCATCGCTTCTGTGGTCTGATGGGTTAGCAGAAAGCTGCCTCCTCCTCCTGCCAGGATCAGCCCATGCTCAAGTGGAGCAATGCTTGGAAATGAGACTGCCGCTGGTGGGACCCTGTTGGATGGATGCATTCCTCCAGGATACCGAGGGGAATTGTTGGGCTGCGCTCCCAGACAGGAGGCACCGGTTGAAGCGTGTTTTAAGGACAGGCAGGATGGAAAGAGAAGTGTTTTGTGCAGGGGAGTGACAGCCTGTTGGTTCTTTGTGTATATAACCCAAATATCCCAATACCCTAAACATGCATGAGCACGTTTTATCACACAGTGTTTCAGACAGAAAGCGGGAGCGTAGCTGGCACAGCGGGTTAGGGAAGCGTGCCTGGCAGACAAGGACATTCCCGGTCTGATGCCACATCCGTGACCTCGAAGCAGGACAGAGAAAAGGAGATTTCCTTCCCTCTGGGCAATGTGCGCGCACACGAGCCTGTTTACGCAGGGGATGTTCGGGTGGATCCAGCTCTTTCTCCAGCAGCGTGCTCAGTGTGGCTGCCACCTCTTCAGACCCTTCCCTCACAGGGAAGAGCTTCTGCCTAAGAGCTCAGCTCAGTCTCCCCTCGGGCAGGTTCAAGCCATTCCCCTTGGCCTGTCCCTACAGGCCCTTGTCCCAAGCCCCTCTCCAGGTTTCCCGCAGCCCCTTTAGGCACTGGAGCTGCTCTCAGGTCTCCCCTTCAGGAGCCTTCTCTTCTCCAGGCTGCCCCAGCCCAGCTCTCTCAGCCTGTCAAAATATTCCTGTCCCTCTTGAAATCATCTGGTCCATGTGGTCAGTGCTAACCCAGTGGCATCCTAGGCTGTGTGTGAGCAGAAGTATGCATGGTGGTAGCATCACTGCTGGATGGCAATATTGGTGCCCTACCAGAATCATCAGGAGCTCCTTCTGAGAAGTCTTATGGTTGTGCTCAAAGCATTTCCTATGCAGTCTTTACACTTAATATGAAGAGTAATAAAAATACCAAGAGCAAATTGCGTAGTTAAGTGGTTTAAACTGAGGAGTTCATAAGCTTCGTGCAGGCTCTGTCTTCATTTTGGAAGCCCGTCTCATGACAGTTTTGCCTTCCACAGTTATCAGTAATGATACAACTGTTTTCTCAATGTATCAGCAATGTTACAGAGATAAAGGGAGGAGGCATCGGAGTTTGGCGAGCGGTAATGCTCATCATTTAACAGCTGGAGATGCAGCTACTAAAGGTGTTATTTTCTGTAAGGAAAGGAAGCAGCTATTACACTCTCGCGTATTGCAAAACATGCATTTATGTGCTTATTTTGTGTGTCTAAAGCCAACAGTGACATTTTATTTCCCCACCTCGCCATGAGAGCTGCTTTCATGTCTACTGGGTACTGCATTTTTCATGAGGAAGGCAGCGACTAGATATTTTTGCAGAGGAAGATTAATATTTGTGTCTCCTGCAATGTGCTCTCTACGTGTGGAGGGAATCAGGGCTGGTTGGGTCCCAAGGCAGATCTGCCCTTATGGCATCTGTGTGATGTACACGTCTCTCTGTAGGGTGAGGGACCCCCAGCAGGACCCCTTGGTGGCATCCATTAGATGAAAGCTGTAGCCCTCTGGTAGTGATGTTCCATGCGTTTAATGTTACTGGTGCTATTTTGATGCTATTTTAAGTGTGTGGGGGTGTTTCCTTGCAGTTTGGCATTCCTGGTTCTCAAAGCCATCACCAGCAGTGGTGCTGTACAAACAGTGTGTTCTTATTGGGTGTGTTTGAGAAGGTGTTCATAAGAATCCCAGCCTGGTTTGTATTGGAAGGGACCTCAAAGCTCCACAGGCAGGGACCCCTTCCACTGGAGCAGCTTGCTCCAAGCCCCTGTGTCCAACCTGGCCTTGAGCACTGCCAGGGATGGGGCAGCCACAGCTTCTCTGGGCACCCTGTGCCAGCGCCTCAGCACCCTCACAGGGAAGAGCTTCTGCCTAAGAGCTCAGCTCAGTCTGCCCCCGTGCCAATGCCTTATGGAATAGATGCCCTGGTGAGTTTTTGGGTGCTCACTGTGGGCTGTTGCTCAGCAGCCATCTGGAGTCTTGCAGAACTGGAGATTAGTGTGTTTGTAGAATAGGAGCCACAGATAGGTGAATGGGTAAGTGGAGCTGGGATGCTGCCTCCGGCACTTCTCCTCAGAGCAAGGGGAGCCCTGGCATTTGAACATCTGTTTCCATTTTGAAACATTTGTCAGCCCTCAAATGGCTTTTTATATGATTTTATGCACATGTCAACATAAACTGCATTTTCTTGCTCATGCTCTGTGCTGGATTGGCCCCGGTGCTGCAGATGCCCTCAGCAGTAGCTGCTGTAACATGCAGAAGGATGCATTAGCACAAGCCCATTGCTTGCTCAGAGGTCTCCTTGGGGGATCCCTGCCTGAGCCATGAGGGCAGGAGGAGATGCTGAAGAGGTGAAAGGTTCTTAATGGTTTTTATCTCAAACAAAATGCTCAGAGTATTGTATTTTCCTTTATAGCAGAGGCAGTCTAACCTGGAATGAAGACTTGCAGGGTTTTCCAGTGCTGGTTTCCTCGAAGGAAGATAGTCTTTTTAAATCAGATAGTTGATTTCTTCTCTGTTTGGTGTAGAATGATTCTGCAAGAGCAGGTATTTTCTGCTAAGTCAAAGCTCCATTGCTGCCCCTGCATTTCCATAGGGTCTCTTCTCTCAGTAGCTCTCCTTCTGCTCCTTCATCCGTTGGTGTTGAAATCACAAATGCAGAGTTGATGTATAATGTTCCGTCAAATTGCTTTAGCATTACTGATCCCATGTGGATTAATGTTTTCATCTCTCAGTTCGTGTCGTTTCTTTTAATCCCAGTAACCTTTGCAGAGCTGAGCCAGTATTTGTCATGGGGTTGGAATTAGATGATTCTGAGGTCCTTTCCAACCCTAACTATTCTATGATTCTGTAGCAAGTCTCAGCATTGGCATTTACATGCATGTACTCAGGTACGTACAGAGAGTTTTCTGGGTGATTTCAGTTTACATTTCAGACTTTACAAATCTATGACGAAATGTGGTGGCTGTGTTAAATTTGGGCTCCGTTTTCTCGTGTTTTGAACAGTTTGGAAATACACGACACAGGACCTCCAACCCTCTATTTCCTAATCACAAGCGCTGTATCTGAAGCATGTGTGTATACAAATAGCCTGGGTTTGGGCCTCTCCGGCTGGGTTCTCCTGTATTTAACGTGTGTGTGCTAGGGCTCCCTCTTTGTTAAACAAGAAAAGCACTGCGAGAACCAGAATATCCCTGAAATGCCATGAAAACCCTCTTTGTTTGTGCAGCTTTCAGGCACTGCTGAGGCGAGCACTTCATTCGGTCTTCGGGAATGCTTGACTTTAGTCACAGCCTTTACAAAACTTTGGTTTTGCTTATTAAATTCATGCTTTTTGGGTGCTTTTTCTGTTATCTCCCTAAATCCAGTGCAGACTTCAGCCCAGTTAAGATGGTTTTTACTTGAATTATAGAAATAGACCTAAATGCCATGTGTTTACGGGAAGGGCTGGTAGATCTGACCCTTTCTAATATTGTCCTACCTGGCCCCAAGACTTCATTGTAAAGAAACGCAGATCTTTAAGTGACTTGAAGGGTCTGTTCTTGTTTGTGAGGAGCCAGGTATATTTATTTATTGCCTATGAGCTGTTGGTGGTTTTCTTGCTGTCAGGCTCATGCAATAGCTGGAGTTTACAAATGGAAAAGGCAATAAGCTTTTTTCCTTCCTTCAGGCTACAGAAGATAAGGGATATCAGTATGTTTTTCTTTGCATTGGGATAAATATACCATTTAAGCCAATCCTTTGCTCTGTGTTATTGATGGATCGATGCTGCTGCAGTTGCTTGGCAGCTGGCACCTCAGACCATGTGCAGTTGAGGTGTCAGGGCCAGAGGGTTCTTTGTGATCTGCCTTCTGTGAGCTTCAGTGCTGCTGTGATCAGTCTGGGGGCTAGAGGTCTTCCAGGTGTTTGTGCTGCATAAAAAGACAAGGCTTCTTGCCCATTAAAATCATGCTGGTGGCAACCCTGGGGTGGGCACTGCATGGGGTGGACTTTACA